ATATGGAATGACCACTGGTCTGGGTCTGGGTTCCTCCTTTTCACCTGTTGGCTGACTGGAGTCCTGTTTGGGTTTCTTCTCTGCTTTCAGGAAGGCCCAGTTAGGATATCCACATTGCTCTAGAGCCTGTCTTGTGTAGGATTTCTCCTTCTGCCTGGCTCCTGAGCTAGTGGGGACGCTGTCTGCTCTGTGGTACAGAGTCCTGATGACTCCTAACTTGTGCTCCAAAGGGTGATGGGAGTCAAACTGCAAATACTGGTCTGTGTGGGTGGGTTTGTGGTACACCTCGGTTTGCAAATGTCTTCTATCAGAGACTGAGACCTCACAGTCCAAGAAAGCCAACTTGCCATTTTTTACATCTTCTCGTGTGAACTTGATGTATTTATCCACAGAGTTGATGTGGTCAGTGAAATGCTAACTAGACCACACCGCTAACTGAACAGAACCATGATGTTGAAACAACCTCACTGCTAACTGAACCACACTGTAGATATATTTCTTTTTCAACTTTGGCGCCTTGTTTTTAGTATTTAGTAGTATTTTTAGTATGGTTTTAGTATTTTTGCTGCATGCTTTGGTATTTCTTGTTTTGTATTTTTATTTTTGGTGAGTCAAGACGGTTCTTCTCATCCTAAGCATTTCATTGCAATGATGACCTTGTGTTGATTTTGCATATGACAAATAAACCAAACCTGAACCCTTATCGCTTAGATAAGAAAAGTGGAAGAAAACATAAGGAAAGACGTTTAAAAAAAATTCTCTAACACCGTGTCCTAGACAGGGCACGGTTTGAGGCATCAAAAAAATCTACCACAGCAAAGCATCTTAAATAGACATAATACATATGTGTGTAGAATGGGTAGGGCATGGGGGTCCCAGCACGGCCACCAGGTGAGCGACGCAGCCCTTGGTGCCTTCGCATCTCCTAGGTTGCTGCACCAGGGGAGGTGAGGGAAGCCAGTGGAGGCATTGAGTTTTAGGGAAGCTCATAGCACAGCACAGTCCAGAGCCCCCCACAGCCATAGTCCTGATAAGAGGTTTTTGTTTATCAGCCAGCTTGATTGAGCTCTGTCACAGGTCCACGACCTTGGGGAAGGGAAGGAGTGGAGAGGGGGACAGAGGTTTTTTGTTTCCATAACATCCAAGGAGAAATTGAGAGAGTCTGCTTTCCAAGGCCAGGTCCAGATTCAGATTCAACTGCAGTCTCTGACAGAAGCTTAAACAGCTGCTGATGTTTCAGAATTTGTCCACAATCCAGATTTTCACCAACTCCAAACAGTAAAATCCAGTTGTTGTAGATCCAATGATGTTTCTGTCGAGGTACGAGGGTTCTCCTTCACCCTGACTACATGTTGAGAAAAACTGATCAGTTTTGTTGAGAGACCAGCTGATCAAATCCATCGTTAAATCTGGAAGGTTTTTTTTCATTCAACCTTTATTTAAACAGGTTAGTCCCACTGAGGCTCGGGGACTCATTTACAAGAGAGACCTGATTTAACAAAGAATCAGGTCTCTCTTGTAAACGAGTCCCGAGCCTCAGTGGGACTAACCTGTCTAAATAAAGGTTGAATGAAAACAACAACAAAGAATGATGACAACAGTGGACAACAACGACAACAATAGACAGTTATAAAAGAGGCATGCAGATTTTTTTTTTACAAATTAAAATAAAATGCCAACCAAAAGTACAGTTAAAAGGAAAACAGTAGTAAAAAAACAACAACAAAAAAACCCAGCTAGATTATAAGACGTGTAGAAAACTAAAAACAGGAACATGTCTGCATTGGTTCTTGCAGGAACTTATCAGATGTTTGAAGCCACTTAGAGAGGTCAAAGGTCGAGAGCTTCAGGTCTGTTTACAAGATATTCCAGGAAACAGGAGCGGAGTAGGAAAAAAGGGTTCTGGAAAAGGTTCACAGGACAAAAGAGCAAAGCAGGGATGGAGCAGAGGAGGACACGTCTGCCTTCCACCGAGAGCGTGCACGAAAAAGAATGTGATCTAAAGCTCTGATTAGTCTCTTTAGAATGATTTGTTCAATTATTCTCTGTACAGATCTAGTATAGAGCTGTGTGAATGGGTCAATGAGGCACAGCTTGTTGTAAAGAGCTTTCAGTATCTGGATAAGATAGAAAGGTGCTGTATAAGTACAGTCCATTTATCATTTAGTACACGTTTAATACTGACTTATTATGTTTATTGCAAACTTATTACACATTTAGTACACATTTATTACATGTTTAATACGTATTACATTTTTAACTTCTTCTGACTTTTCCCTCTGCAAGGGTCTTCACAGCAAGACCTCCTGTTTCTCCAATCAGTACAAGTCCTTCTCGTCCTCTTTAGTGTCCAGTCTCCCATACAACTCATCAAACATCTTCTGCTTTGCTCTACGTCCCACCTCCTTATATTCCTGTCTCCTCTCTTCAGTCCTCTCTCTGTCATATTTCTTCTTGGCTAATCTCTTTCTTTGAACATCTTCCTGCACTTCACTATTCCACCACCAGGTTTCCTGATCATCCATTCTCTGTCCAGATGACACACCAAGTACCTTCCTACCTGTCTCTCTAATTACTGTTGCTGTAGTAGTCCAGTCATCTGGAAGCTCTTTCTTACCACCCAGAGCCTTTAACAGCTCCTCTCTGAATTTCTCACAACATTCTTCCTTCTTCATCTTCCACCATTTGGTCTTCTCTGATTTTACTCTTTTTCTCGTCTTCACAACAACAGTCATTCTATATTCTACAGTCTGTTTATTAGACACATTACATGTTTATTACATGTTTAATAGGTAGTTCTGAAACAAATGCTGCCTGAGAGAGATAAAATTAGAGTTAAACTGTGACATCACCCTCCACATTGCAGGTGTGTGGTGGTGGGGGGGGGGTTGATACCGAGTTTATTGTGTTCACTCTCTGGGTAGGGATCCATCAGGCGGAGCCCGCAGAGCTGAGACTGCTGGCCTCGACGCCGCACCACAGCCACGTGTACGGAGTGTCCAGCTTCGACCTGATCCGGAGCGTGCAGAGGCAGCTCATCAGCCAGGTGTGCTCAGGTGTGGAGGAGCAGCTCAGCTCGCTCGTCAGCGGAGAGGAAGGTGAGCATTCACCGTGAGACGAGGTGAACCCAGGATTCAGACGCTCAGCGTGCTTCCTTCATTTATTCACTTCACCTCTCCCAGAACCGCCCGTCTTTTAATCACTTTTCAGCTTCTGACACAAATCTGCTGCACTTCAGACGACCCGAGTTGTTTTTGTTGACAAACATTGGCTTAGGTAAACAACGACATCATGAAAACAACTAAAGTCTATTTTCTCCCTTCTACACCTTCGGTCTGTTGTCTGACGGATTAATCGTCACGAATTAGAGATGTGAATGAAAAGTCTCCTAATCTGAATAAGTTTTAGAAGCACGACCTACATTAAGCTCAAAGTTGTGTTCAGTTTTATAATAAGGCGTCGGTCCTGCACAGCAGGAGACCGGGCTTTCTCCTGCGCGGGCCCTCGGCTGTGGGACGCCCTGCCTTCATGCCCGAGGCCCCACAGACCGTGACATGTTTTAAAAAGATCTTAAAACATTTCTTGTTACACAGTTTTGATTGATTGCACTGTACTTTCGTTTGGTTTTTTATTCACCCATTAGTTCGTATTTGAGTATTTTATCTGCATTTTGAGCATTTTAAGTTTTTTGATGTGTTCATTCTGAGGCGTTCTCCTCCTGGTTGTTTTTATCCTGATGTTCACTCTTTGTAGCACTTTGAGATTCACTGTGAATGTAAAGTGCATTAAAAATAAAAGTTATTATTATTATAAATTATTAACATTAAAATTCCTGCTCAGTTTGTGATTGATTACCTGTTACCATGGTTACCTGTTAGTGGGCGGGGTCTATCAGGCAGCAGGTGAACTTCCTGTGTAGAGGTTTGTGCAGCGTGAGGATGGAAGCAGCATCAACCAGAACCAGTCTGTGATGGTGCAATGGTTGGGTCAGAACATCTCCATACCTGCTACTCAGAACCGGTCCAACAAAAGGAGAACCAGAGACAGGATCATGGAGGTCCTTGGACCACTGGTGATAACTGAAGGCTGACCCGTGTTCAGATCCAACTGAAGATCAGGAAAAGTTCCTGCAGGTTCTGAAACCCACAGAGCTTCTCAGTTTGTCATGTTTGTGTCTGTAGCTTCAGAACCGGATCAGAATTCTGACCTGGATCCAACACACAAACTCTTACAATGGATCAGAACTGGACCGTGGATCATGGACAAAGGTGTTCTAGTCTGATGGATCATATGTAGATGTTCGGATCCATGTGCGTCACCTACTTGTGTAAGACGTGTCACCAGGTGCATTATGGGAAGAAGTGGGCAAAGTTCTGCTGGAGAACCGGGGGTCCTGTTGTTCATGTGGATGTTCCTTTGACCCACAGAACCTCTTTCAGCAGGATGATGCTCTCTCCCACTGCGGAGATGTTGGCTTGGTCTAAAATATCCAGATCTCAGTCCAGTCAGCCATCTGATGTTCTGAACCAGCAGGTCCGGTTCACAGAGGCTCCACCTCAGAACTTCCACAACCTAAATGAATGGTTGTTTTTTGGAAACCAATCAATGATCAAAGATCAAAGACCAAAAACAGTTCTTGTTCTTTTTTTCTCCTCTTGCAGTCATTGAACCAGCGTCTGATCTCAGAGTCCTGGAGGTGGCCTCTAAGTCCATGAGGGTGAACTGGGTCGCCTCCATCAGTGAGATTTCAGGGTACCGGGTGCAGCTGATCCCCATGATGACAGGCAGCAGGAGGCAGGATCTGTACGTGGGATCCTCACAGACCTCAGTGGTGGTCAGAGACCTTTCTCCCGACACCGAGTACCAAGTCAACGTGTTCGCTTTGAAAGAGCTAACGGCCAGCGAGCCCGTCACGCTCCTGCAGAAGACGGAGCCGGTTAAAGTCTCAGTGGGTGAGTTTAATCTGTCCTGGCTTCAACTGACTTTGAGATGGGTTTTTTAGAGAACTTACTGGTAGAACTGTGTCATCACTGTTGCAACCAAAACGGATTTTAGGAAACTAACCGAATGAAATGAAAAAGTAAAAGTGTATTTTTCATCTCGCTGACTGTTTATGGGACCAGTCATCGAGGTATCAAAGTACCTCTGACATCAAGTAAAGTTTAAAATGGATTGAGATTTTAAAATAATTTCAGATAGCTAGTTCTGTTAATGACCCGGTATGAGGTTCAAACTCCTCGTCCTACTCGTAACTGTTTCCACAGGTTTTAAGTAAAGCATAAGTAAATCTGATGTCCACATCCTTGTTTCTGTGTTTTGGGTTTAACATTTAGATTGCTCCCTTGGTGTGGACGTCCAGGCTGATGTTGTGCTCCTGGTCGATGGCTCCTATAGCATTGGTGTGACTAACTTCGCCAAAGTAAAAGCCTTCCTTGAAGTTTTAGTGAACACCTTTGACATTGGACCAAACAAGATCCAGATGGCCTTGGTTCAGTACAGCAGGGACCCTTACACCGAGTTTTACCTGAACACTCACGAAGATGTGAGCTCTGTGGTCAAGGCTGTGAGGACCTTCCCGTACCGTGGCGGGTCCACCAACACCGGCAGGGCCATGACTTTCGTCAGGGAGAAGATCTTTCAGGTCAACAGGGGGGCGCGTTCTAACGTTCCCCGTGTGACCATCCTCATCACTGACGGGAAGTCATCCGATGCTTTCAAAGAACCAGCCACCCGCTTAAGGAGCGCTGATGTGGAGATCTTTGCTGTGGGTGTCAAAGATGCTGTTCGGAGTGAGCTCGAGGCTATTGCCAACACCCCTGCAGAGACCCACGTGTACACCGTCGAAGACTTTGATGCCTTCCAAAGGATATCCAAAGAACTCACACAGTCCATCTGCCTGAGGATTGAGCAGGAGCTCCGAAGCATCTTCCAGAGACGTGAGTGTTAAAGTCATCCTTTATGCAGACGATACTGTGACGTATTAACTTTTTCAGTTCCATGTTGTTGATTAAAGACCTGCTTCACCTAGCTTTAGCCTATTATTAGACCTTTAAACCCTCAGAATATATCCTAACCCTAACTTTGCTTTTTTATTGTTTCTGTTTGTAACATTAGCCTGTTTATCATATCACATCACACCATACCACATCACACCATACCATACCATACCATACCATACCATACCATACCATACCATACCATACCATACCATACTACTTTATTTATAAAGCACTTAAAAACAGCATCAAGGCCAACCAAAAGTGCTGTACAGCAAAAACAAACAAGCAAAGAACACAGGATATAATACATACATCTAAATAGATAAACATAAGAACTAAATGACTAACATTATAGAATACAGACAAGTTAAATCAACTTACAGTGTCAAAAGCCAAAGAATAAAAGTGGGTTTTTAAGCAAGTCTTAAAAACAGTGAGAGAAAGAGAGCCTACCTGACTTGCAGTGGTAACTCATTCCACAGTCATGGACCTGCAACAGAGAACACCTCTGAGCTTAAAACGAGTTCCTGGAACCAATAGAAGCATCTGATTCACTGACCTCAGAGAGCGCTGTGGGACATATGGCTGCAGCAGATCAGTGAGATAAGAGGGGGCAGAACTGTTCATCCATCCACCATTATCTTTTACCCGCTTCTTCCATTTTGGGTCACGGGGGTCGCCGGTGCCCATGTCCAGCAATCACTGTGCGAGGGGCGGGGGACACCCTGGACAGGTCTCCAGTCCATCACAGGGACACAGAGACAAACGAGACAAACAACCATTCACTGTCTCTCACTCACACCTAGGGACAATTTAGAGTTACCAATCAGCCTAACATGCATGTTTTTGGTCTGTGGGAGGAAACCGGAGTACCCGGAGAAAACCCACGCATGCACGGAGAGAACATGCAAACTCCACCCAGAAAGGCCCCTGGACCGGGATTTGAACCAGGGACCTGCTCGCTGAGAGGCAGCAGCTCTACCAGTTGCGCCACCGTGCTGCCCCAGAACTGTTCAGATATTTTAAAACATACAGAAGGATTTTGAACCGAATTAGAAAGTGAACCAGGAGCCAGTGCAGGGAGGCCAGAACTGGTGTAATGTGCTCTCTTTGGCCTGTACCAGTTAAACATTGAGCAGCAGCATTTTGGACCAGTTGTGGTCGTGCAATGGAGGTCTGACTGATTCCAAACAGAAGCACATTGCAGTAATGGAGCCTGGATGTTATGAACACACGTATTAATGTCTCAAGTTTATTTAACGTCTCCTCAGCTGAAAAAAAAACAGGATTTAACAACCATGTTTACATGACTGTTAAGTTTCATGGAAAGTTTGAAGATTTGAGCTTTATCTTGTTTTCTTGTTGCTGCATCACAGAACGAAGGGATTTGTTGAGAAAACTGCAGGAAATGTTTTATAACGGAGCATCTCGTCACATTTACTGTGAAACGAAGGCCGAGCGCTGCGTGTTGTTTTTAATTGATCAGTGAAGACGGGTTGCCAGGTTTGACCAGATGAGCTGCGTTTCAAAGAAAACTTGGCAGAGCACACATCATAAAGCCACAAACAAACACCCATGATGTAAACTTAACATTTACTTTTCATTAGACTCAGGAAGTGAATAAGCTCAGATGAATCTGTCATTTACTTTTATAACAAAACTTCGACACGGGTTCTGCTTGGTCCTCAGGTTTGGGTCAATTATTGGATTAGTTCTGCTCATTTGATTGTTTTCTCCATAAAGATAATGAGTTGAACCGTGCCTTTGATGGGGATAGTTTTATTTATTTATGCACATGTGCGTCCATTGCCGTGTTGAAGTCATCTCAACAACATGTTCGGATTTTAAATTAGTGCAATAAACAGACGTAAGTCCACACGATGGCTGAGAAGAGCAGGTCAGCAGTCGTCCACATGGACTCAATCACCTTCATGTCTCCCCTCCGAGGCGTCATTTTCACCTAAACCCTCATTTTCTGCCTCAATGTGTAAAACACATGTCCACCGTTTGATCCTCCGAAGACTGCCAGGGTCCAGCTGCGTGTGGAGCCGTCAAACTGGGCCAGATATTGGTCGGAGAGACGTGTTTGCTTTTGTTTAAGCCGAGCTGGTTTCAGCAGGTCTCAAGACGTTGGACTTCATAAACAAAATGTGACTGTGGAACCATCGGACCTGTCGACCCGTTCAGACCAGTGAAGCCATTTAAAGGAGCAGGTTGGACACAAACGTGTTCCCAGTCTGCTCCCGCCCACGTTGATGGCTGGTTGTACGATTCTTCTGCTGGCGTCGTGTCGGCGCTCAGAGTTGGGTCCAGCACACGGATCTCCTGCAGCAGCTGCTTCATGTAGCCTGGCTGATGGAGCCGGCAGGCCCGCGCCCTCCACCTCTTTATTATCTGACATCTGGGTCAGACCTTCGGCTCCAATCTCCTGCTTTCTCTCCAGCAGTCCCAAAGGTTTTCTCTTGTTTTTCTCAGACTTTTCCCCGTCAGAGTTTGTGCTTGGCTGCCCTCGGGGCTCTGTCGTTCTCTGCCGTCGATTCTTCTGTGATTTATACCTCTGGAGTTCAGAGGAAAGTATGAGAGCCTTTGGGTTTTCCAGATGAAAGATGATGGATGGAGCTTCAGTTTCATCCACCACAGCTCAGGAACCAGCTCCACGTGCACGGCTCAAAAACTGTTCAAGGTGAATTTATGGCTCAACGATGATCTGAAACTTTATATCACAAGTGATGAAAGTAGATTCACCACCCTGAGAAAGTTCAATCTGGTCCTCTGGACATTCAAAAAACAAAACAAAGCAAAACAACAACAAAATGTAGAAACGTTTCGTCTCTCATCCTGAGGACTTCTTCAGTCTGAGGAGCTGTATTCAGCTCAGTCTCTTAAATAGCACCTTCTCAGAGTGGATCAACCAGTTTGCTGCTGACAACCAGAACCAGCTGATCACATGCTCAAGAAGGACCATCAGCCTAACAATGGATCATTAGCACCTGATGGCTGTTTACTGTTCACAGAGGGCTGAGTGATACTAGCAATCACAGCATTGTAAGAGGGGGACAGTTGAACCTGGAGGCTCCACCCCTGTTTAATGATGGACGGTTTCTTTTCACAAAGATGGCCTCCTTTACTCCTCTCTCAAACCATCGTTCCTCTCTGTCCAGGATGTGAACATCTTCATCCCTGAAAGAGTGACCTCTGGCCTGGAGATGAGTGTAGACCGCAGAGTCCTGGCCTGATGATGTTGATCTTCTGTGCTGGTCCATCCTTTTGGCCAGTGGCTGTTTAGTTTCCCCGATGTAAGACTGATCACCCTCCTGACACTGAACAGCATACACAACATTGCTCTGTTTGTGCCGGGGGACTGGATCTTTGGGATGAACCAGTCTTTAATGTATTTTTTTTTTTTGTATTTTGTGCACGTGCTGCCACTCCAGGTAGGACTCTCCATGAGCGAGGCTGCCCAGGATTTAGTCCACTTTCCCGACTTTCCTGACGGTTCTGTGAGCTTCATAGATAAGAGCGTTACTTCATTGCAGCCATTTTGGCAGAAAGCAGCAGCTAGAAGCACTGTTGGCTTCTGGGTAGTGTAGTTCTTTTTTGACTGGCGTTACAGAGTCAGAGTCAGAGTTTCTTTATTGTCATTCGCACCTCATGTGGTACATGTGGTGGAGCGAAATTATGTACACAGGGTCCCAGTTACATCCAACAATAAAATGTATAATAAAAACAGTAATAACATCTAAGATATGAACTGAGAAAAACATCAACTAAATATACACTAAGCACTCATAACATAAAACATTGAACATCAGTGTAGGCTTATTGAAAGAAAACTACAAAATAACGGCGCCTGTCTGAAGTATTTACTTTCTGTTAACTTTTTATCTCATGCCGTCCCAATCACGTGAGTAATATTAAAGTGGACAATCTTTGAAAAACTGCGAAACAGCAACTCCACGATAGTCGAACTGCGAAGTAATGACGGACTACTGTAAACCAAAAATCTGTTCTAAAAATATAAATAATAAAAATCTTATTAAAATAAACTGTTACTTTACTAAAAACAAAAGAATAAAATCATTAAATGTGGATTATTGTAGATCAGATCTCTTTCTTCTACTTCCTGTCCTCTCAAACCAGCCGGTCGAAGCAAATGGTCCTAAGCCTGGTTCTGCTGGAGGTTTCTTCCTCATGAGGGAATTTTTTATTTCCACTGTCTCCTTTGTGCTTGCTCAGGATGGGAGACTGTGATGAAGAGAAGATTCAACACAATCTGCTGCTTCCTCAAATACACAACTTTACTGATTATCTTTTATAATGTGTGAATGTTTCTGTTCAGAGACCTGAGACGACTTTTGTTGGGACTTAGAGCTTTATAAATAAACTGAATTGAAATGAAACACAAGCCGACCCTAACTATAGGATTTATCAAAAAGGAAAGTCTTAAGTCCATCCACTGTGATGGACTGGAGACCTGTCCAGGGTGTCCCCCGCCCCTCACACTGTGATCTCTGGACATAGCCACCGGCGACCCCCGTGACCCAAAATGGAAGAAGCGGGTAAAAGATAATGGATGAATGGATGGATGTTTCCTGTTTTTATTTTGTTTTGTTTACGATTGTCACAAATGTATGGATCAAAATTGATCCATTGATCCTTGATACGTCCCTTCAGTCTTGATACGGACCTTCGGCCTTGATACGTCCTTTCGGCCTTGATACGTCCATTCGGCCTTGATACGTCCCTTCGGCCTT